AACCGATGGTTACCTCTCCAAACACAGTAAATCACGCACACGGTGAATGGTAGGTGATTATTGGAGGGAGCTATAGCTCGTCAACTGCAGCGCAGCCGATATAGCAGGCCTAACAGTTAAAAAGTTGGGCTATGGAAACTTTGGAAAATTATGATGATTGTATCTGTTACAGGCAATGTGTGGAATCAGGCATTCTATAGAATGCCTAGGCATTCTATAGAATGCCTGACCGACCAGGCATTCTATAGAATCCCTAGGTATTCTATAGAATCCCTGACTGCTTAGGCATTCTATAGAATGCCTGGCTTAAGCTCCCAGGCATTCTATAGAATGCCTAAGTATTTTGATTGTCCGAAACACACTTCGAAAATTAGGGGGTCAGTGGCAGTAATGCTATTTGTTTACCTAATTTTCAGACCATTTCAGGGCAATGAGTTGAGAGGAAGCGAGGGAGAAATTGGGCTATGCCGACCACCAAATTGTGCGCCGCAAGCAGCAACTGATCCAATCCCGTTGGCACGCGAGAGCCACGGCGCAAGGCACCCGGGAGAGCCACAGGCCAACCAGTCGCTTCAACGGTTACCCTCGGAGGATTATGCTGCTACAGATACGAAGCTGCATTAGAAGAGTGTTGGCTGGGAGGGTGGACCGTAGGCTTGAATCGAAAGTGATTGCGAATGACGATGGCTTTGTTCTGATATTAGAAATGAAGGTGAAGAATACACCAAAGGTCACATTTTATGTCCTCATAAGCACTTCGTGTAACGACTCTCAATATACATGGACAATGGACAGCTCAACCCACACTGTAATGGCAGGGAATAACCTGAATAAATGGTTCATTATTCCACGTCCGGGCGGTGGCCCGGCCGTAACAAGAGCCGGATTAGGTGTTGTTCGATCTCCCCTTCCAGCTTGACTTCTGGGCCATGCAGTATTCGAAAGGTCGTCAAAATTATGAAATTTTACTCCAGTTCTTTGGCAATGTTCGAAAGGATGCCATATCTAAAACAAATAGCTAAGCCATTTTTGGGTCAGGCCAATTTTTGTCCATTTTTGGCTCGTATCCGTTTTCTCCAGTTTGACCTTAAATCAATTCCTTAGAAGGCAAACACCTCCAAAAAATGGACGATTTGTCAAACTTTTTTTCTGTGTATTTTTTTTTTTTACCAAAGGCGTTTCCGATATTGACATTACCACCATCGTCTTTCTAGCGTTAAGATAAATACTCTGTACTCTCAGAATGAAATCCTGATACAATTTGACCTAATAAGGTCAGATTGAATACCTGACCGGAAAATTTGACTGAATGAACATGAATAACTGAATGAACATTTGACTGAATGAACATAAATAGCTGACCGCAAGGTATAGCCTGGCAGAAAATAGTAATGTTACATGTCGGTCTGTGCTCATAATCTTATACAACATACACTGATATGTTGGAAAGATTCGTGTATTTCCTAGGCATTCTATAGAATGCCTGAAAATCAGGCATTCTATAGAATGCCTAGGGATTCTATAGAATACCTGGTGGGTCAGGCATTCTATAGAATACCTAGGGATTCTATAGAATGCCTGGTCGGTCAGGGATTCTATAGAATGCCTAGGCATTCTATAGAATGCCTGATTCCACACATTGCCTGTAACATATCCACAGGTGTCATCTTGACGTTGCCGGTCGATGGCCGATCGATTGCCACACCTAAACATTGGTTACCTAAACCAAAAAACAATGTCGTACACAATATTTATCATATGTTTACCACATAATACATCAAGACACATTCGTCAACCTCGACTTTACTGCATGGCGATAGAGTGAGACAGGCCGCGAAGAAACATCAAATATCGATCCGATGCCCCCACTAAAAAAAAAAAAAAACTTTGCAGCTTGTGCACAAAAACCATAGATCGGCAGTTCAATCCCTAGCACTGCACTCAGGGACCTCATCTCAAAGTCAGTGTCTAATAACCCTGGTAAACTCATCACACCATAGCCTGGCGACAGGCTGACCCCGCCACCTTTCGGTCCCAACACCCGACGACCCCACTTTATTCAACCTCGACACTTCCTACCGGATCCGACCCTCGCCCAAGCGCGACTCTCCAGCTGCAACGCAAGCCAGCGCTTCTCCGCAGGGTGCTTATTTCAAACAGATGTGTTTTTCAGCGTCATTCAGCGAGCCTGAGCCGGCCGAATTCAATCAAAGACCGATTGCCTGAGAGGCGCAGGTCGGCCGGCCGGCCGGTGGCGTCTATTGGGAGTCGCGCGCGGCGCTGGCAGTGCGTCCATCATAGAGTCGAGAGGGGGGTCGGGGTCGGGGTCGGGGTCGGGCCACCGGCCTGTCCCGGCTCCAGCGCCGACCATCCATTGGCCGGCGAAATATGACGGCGTCCCACGAACAGCGCCGGCCGCCCTCCGCCACAGATAACTTAGAGAAATCACGACAGCACGGCAAAATGGAAAATGAAAATGAAAAATCACGACCGGTGCGATGAGAATGTTCATGAAGCAGCGCCGGGCCCCAGACGAAACCAAAGCACGGTGGTTTCCATCAGACAACACGACAGTTTTAAAGAAATATAAAACAAACTAAAATAAGCGGATGCAGGTAAAACTTGAGTCACAGTTATACTGCCATAGACTAGTTTCCGAAGGGTATACAGGATGACTTTTCGGGTTTAGAGTCACCGTAGCCTGAAAGTTATATGGCGGTTTATTCCATTTGAGCGTGCCATTCCTCGCCACTATTTTATACGTTCCACCTGTACTGCATAGTGCATTGGTCAGTAGGACGGAAGCTTATGCGCTCCGAAACTGGGAATTGCCAGCTACGAACGGGACATAAAATAATATTTGAAGTCCTCGTGCTAAGACGACGTACGACCAAACTCGGTCATAAAATGAAACCCGGAAGGAAGGAATGAAACTAATAGCGAAAGTCAAACCGTTCGATAGCAATTTATGTATGAGTATGAAACCGTTTCGAATGTCTTTTCAAGAAAAACTGTCCAAGTGTCCAGCTGTCTGATTACACAGCTCTCAGACCTTGGTGGCACGCTCTCACTTCCCACACAGTACACCATTTCTGAGGCTTACGTAAAGCTTCACTTGCCTTTCTACGCTTGAGGATGCAATTAATGGCAGCTTGCATAGTCCCACTTCTGAGTCTGGCGGGCAGATTCCCGTCATTTCTTACCAGTGTCATTTCTCACAGTGCGAAGTAGCAGTGAGTTATACCGGACGGGTATTATTATATCGCCATGGGCAGACACGATGACGCTGAAATTAGACTGTGTCGCAACGCACGAGTGAGAAAACTCTGAGTACCATACACTTTAAGCTTCTGAGATGGTGACGAATTCTGAATTGTCCTCCCACGATGCATCGAGAGCAAAGTTCAACAATGACGCATGCAGTACCCGAGCACGTCCCAAACTCGCCATACGTGCAGACGAAGGAGATCTTGTTTCAGACAAATTTAAGCAGCCTTCGTCTGCATTCAATAAGCGATTGTCTACCCTTTACCTCACCACCGCTTCAGCCACCGACAGATTTCAGTTTAAAAATAAAGTGCGCTGATTCATGGGTAATACCCCCGAGCCGCTCTGCGCTCAATCTAGCGGTGTGTCACCGGGAAAGCCTACAATAATTGTAGGCCATGCAGGTGGCAGAAAGGAGAAGACATATTTATCGCTGCAAGAACGTAGAGTAGCAATCGAGAGAGCGCGATGGTGCACCTAGTTTGTGGTATGGAACAACTACAGTAATGGGCTGAAGTACGTAGATATATCGATATATCTACGTACACAAATAAATAACAAATGTGTTCACAAATAAAAATAACCATTTTATCACTAAAAGAACCTTGACTACAAGCCTGGTACCGATTACGGCCACTTGATGCCTAGCCGAGATGATTAGGCACGAAGTAAATATGAGAGGAACCGGACTTCAGGAGGCAGATATTGGCTTGACGTGTCACAAAGCCAAGGTAATTATTAAACGCGTTCGCAAAACTGCAATGTCACATGACTGAATATTGCAGTTCCTAAAAGGATTGACGACAACAAGCATTGAGCTTCAAACGAATACGCACAAAATGCAACGGCGAGTTACAAGCATTGCAACTTCTTTGAAGCATGCTGTAAAGGTCTGACATCAAAAGATACGCCTCGTCACGGTAATGCATAAAAGAAAAATGTAAATGCAATGCTGGTTGTTGCACCAGTTATATTAATGAAATATTTTAATAACTACGGGAAAAGCTTTTGCATTTTGCCCAGGCAATATAAAAAGGCCCTTTCGCGTGTTGCAAAAGGCAAGCCCGTGGTTTGACCTCGCAAGACATCAAAGGCACTTATCCCACAGCAACGGTTCGAACAAAAAATAGCAGTCCGAAAATACTTGCCAAAAAATACCGCTGGCTCACGCGGCGGAAACAAAACACGTTCTTTCTATGAAAGTAATTGTCTAATGCACATACATGTTTTAAGCCCAAATAACCCTAATATATCTCACAGGGACTTTTTCCAGGGGTGTGGACCGTGAGTTATTGGCGTCAATACCATTAGAAGTAACATGCAGAATTGCGGACATAAGACAGACGATGATCCTTCCGTCCACCTGCCAATATGTGTGATGAATCGGCCCAAAAGGCAATATTACACAAAGCAGTTCATGCCAGCGCATATTAGTGTTTTCAACGATCCAGCCTTATGTCATTGAGTTCAGGGTGGCAACTGCAGGTCGATAGGTCCATTTTAATGGATAACCCCTATTTCAACCCTCGGTGAAAACTGAATTCAGCTTTATGCAGGATTCTCAGAAATATGCAGCCGACAGAATTTTGTACAGCCCTTAAATTAACATTAATTGACGTTGTTTTTTTTTGTCAAACAAGGAGGTAGCGTAAAACCGCATCTTTGACGTAACCAAGCCATGTCCAGTTCCACGGTGCCAACCCATTGATCTATTTCACGCGTGTGCTCCTCACCTCCACCGGAGCCGTCATGGGCGCGAGGCCGAGCCACTTGATCTGTTTCCTCTCCTTGCTGATGATCTGCATGGCCATGAGGACGTTGAGCGCATCATAGACGCGCCGTCGGATATTTTTCTGTTCATACTGCTGATCGGGCGACGTGCCTATGATGGCGCCGGCCGGCGGGCACAGCTCGGCCACCAGCTCGTCTGCCACCTGGCGGTAGAGGCGTGAACTGAGTGCGGGCGGCGCGGTGACACAGTGATAGGAGGGAGGGCGTGTGGACACAGCTAAGTGCCGCGGCCGGTCGACCGGACTGCTCCGGCCGTGAAAGGCCCCGAGGTGACGGCCTGTCACACGAGCCGTGCGGACGGGTTCGCCGGAGCCGACCTCGCACCGGTCAACACTCGACAGAACGGCCAGGCAACAGGTTTCAAGTGGCACTTTTGACGAGGAGATTCTCGAGTTCCGTCTTGGCAGTCGGGCGGCTAGAAGGGGTGCGAAAAAAGGATGGAGCGCTCGCTTCAAAAGTACCCGTCGCAGCAAGGCGAGCGAAAAATGGAGATATGTCAGTGGTAGCTGCCGGGCGTCGTAAATGCTCCGGACAAGGCCCATCGACCGAGGCACGCCCTGTCTGCCTACGCTGTACACAGACCGAACACACAGGCGAGCGCCTAGAGACTAACCACAGTGTATGGGCGGAAATAGCATCTGCATCGACGTAGTTATAAACGTACACATGCAAATACAATTATTACATCTAGCTAGGTGATGAGCAATCAGCAAAATGGCATCATCCTTCACTTCCATCTTCTGCTTTACATTGAGCAGCATGCCACTTACGCGTCAATTCTTTATCCATATTAATAATCACCCATTATCTAATCACAAATAGCACACGCACGTTCTAAATAACCCCATACGATAGCCAACACGTTTCGATGTCAAGTACACCCCTTTCCCCTAAGCAAACATCCTTCTGCTACGTAGATATAACCCCTGCCCCTGTCACGGTCGCCGGGCGCCGCGTCCAGACCTGGACGGCTACTGCAGCGGCTCACTGCCCGTCCTGCCCGGCCACCGGCCTAAGTAGGGATCATCGTATCCTCATCAAACCGGGCCGAGCCGTGTCAGCGCAGAAGCGGATCGGATCAGGCCCGGTGAACGGGGCTCATCATTTATCACGGCGCAGGAGAGGGAAAAAGGAAAGACGCGCGGAGTGGGTGTCTAGAGAGGGAGAGAGTGTAAGAGGGAGAGGGAGAGGGAGAGAAGACGGGGACAGAGTGGCGAGAGTGGTGGGATCAATGGGAGTGGGTGCGACCGTGATGCCAAAGATAGTCGATACGCTGGTCAGGACTATACATACAGAGGATTCTATCTCTGGTGCCAATTGATTGATGACGCATCAGCTCTTAGTGCCTGCATAGCGAATGCCACTATGACAACGTATTCGTACCACGTGCAATGTGTATACCAGCATAAGATTTGTTTGACCAGCTGATACGCAACTACAATATGGTATATGTTGGGTAAGAATCTCAGCACATTCGTACCTCGTTGTAGGTAGTGATGCCCTTTTCTCGGACCTTCTGGCACACTTTCATCGAGAAGTGACGCAGGCCCTTGGCATTTCTGTCGTACCGACGGCGTTTGCTGCAATAGAACACTCAGTGTCAATGACGTGTTGCGGAAAAGTCGCTGGGAATACACGTATTTCATTGATATTGCGTAACGCAAAGACGACCATTCTGATGAAATGCACTCATCCAAAATCTAGTTTGAGACGGAGAGAGACAGAAGAACGTTGTTAGGCAGTGCACGCCCAAACAACACACCACTTCACTGCTCAGTGGACATATTGACGTTCATATAACATTACATTGCATAAACATTGACATACTCATATAAATACACATAAACCAAAAATTGATATCAGGCAAGCGATGATCAGGCAAAATTGGCGCTCGTATGAGATTTCATGCGAGCAGTTGCGTGAGAGGTGCTTAATAAGAGTTCAATGGAACACAGAGAAAGACCAGCCTCCAAGATCAGATCCTCCATGTATTATTTCCCGCCATGTATTATTTTCTACAAATTATCATTCATCATGTAAATTTGGTATAACGTGTCAATTCAGGGAGATGTCATTCGTTCCCTTTCCAGGTCAGCCCTCAACGACATAGGACATCCACTCGTCAACGGTTACCAACGCCGAAAGCTCACTCTTCCAATTCCTCCCACCTCACCTGCCGCAACCTAATTTGTGCTAAAGTTAAAGACGTTAAGAGAAACCCACGAGTGTCTTTCAGAGAAGTTTAGGAAAGGCTTCAACAATCGACCACGAACTGTATTACGTTTCCGAAGACAGCCAGAGTCGTTCAAAGAAGCCCCGAAGAATTAGCTCTACTGTGCCACGACGTCCCGACATTATCCTCATTCGTCGTTAGCTGGGAAGTGAATTGGGGTTTGCAAGCGCATCGACTGCGGGATCTTTTACGACAGTGTAACACAAGCTTGTGTTGATTTGCGCCTTGCGGTATCTTACCGTCGCAGCGGAGTCGTACCCACCTGTCAGACCAGGAGAGGTGTGGCGACTGGGCGGAACGTTTGCCAGCAGAGGTACCCGGCGTGGGGCGCGCAGCCGGGGTGGCTGGGGAGCCTCCGGCCGGCAGAAGGAGACGTCCGCCGCCAGTCTGAGACGTTAGAAATTACGTTAGATGTGCGTTACATTGGGTAGAAGGGTGTGGCAGGGAAAGGAGCAGCACTTACATGGGTACATTAATGATTCCTGGTGTCGACTACTGAATAGGTAAGTCACTTTTCATGGTTCGGTGGCACAGAGTCGAAGACTGGAAATTGTTAGGCCTGCAATGTTCTATTCAGTTAGTTGCAGTCACCCATAATAGAGTTGCACCAAATTTTGGGGAACTGAGACGCCATTAGCGCGGTATATAAGGCACGTTTTCGGTCTCCTTTCATACCGTTGAACTGTGCACGGGAAAAAACTGGTCGGGTGAAGGGGGTGCTGTGCTGCGCAGCAAGCTCTACTAAACGAGCAGCCGTGATCGGAGCTGTGTGAGGGATGTAACAATACAAAAGACTTACGAATACGACTAGCCATGGTGTCAAAAAGGTACACATACAGTAGTCAGTATTCATTATTCAATATGGAAAAAATGAACACTTAAAGTACATGACGTCATAATGATACAGCCAATCGATGTACTCAGTGGGTGTCTGAAAATTTGGAGATTCTACGGAGAATGGTAAATGACGTTTAAGGATACATTATGCACTGTCATCCCCGATCGTACTGCAGGTAACGGTTGTTCCGACTTCAATCATGTTGTTAGCGGTGTGTAACAAGAGGCGCACAGTTGCGTCATTTCGTGCGAATCGTGCGATCATCCGCTATTTCTCAATAAATGGTCCATGGAACTAAGACCAAAAGAGGAAGATAGCACAGCATCATATTACTAAGCTCGTCATGCGCAATCATGGATCATATACCGTCATTAACCATGCCCCGACGCTAGTTTATATACGATCAGAGGAAATCAAATGCATAGCAGCACACGAAATCAGCTCGTAGTACAGACAGATATTTACCTATCACACAAGGAGAAAAGCACATACAACATCCATCGCTCACCCGCCCACCACTCACCCAACCTCAGTACCTCGACTACCCCAGACGCTCTCCTGAGCACCTCCAAAGGGGACAGGGCGAGTCCCAGTGACGTACCGTAGGTGTGCGGTGGATGGCCAGCTGCTGCTGTGACCCCGGCCTGCCCGGTGTTCCTAGACCGGCCATCTGACGATCTGAGAACAACGTAAGGAGGGGTGAGTTAGTTTAGCGGCACCACTGCGATACTCGTGGTATTGCAGGGATTTGCTGGCTAAATTGGCTAAGTATTGTCCGGGGGGAGAAGAGCATGAACTAAAAACACAATTGAAACATTGTAAAATAACAGCATACAAAACATTCATGCATGCATTCATCGTTCATCATGCATCACAATTCACATTAGGTACATATGTCACCCTGCATCTAGCCACCTAACTCCGCCTATATCTGGCCACCTTACTCCCTGTCCCAATAAACTCACCCTGCATCTGCAGTCGGGCGATGGGCGAGTTGACCGCCGTCGACGAAGTTGACGGTGTCTCCTGAAACCGGTGTGCATTTGTGAATAGATAGTACATTTAGATGTATGTAATACTGCGCTGAAAGTGATAAAAATCATATTCATGACAGCTTTAGTAGGCGAGGAGTCATCAACAAGCCATTCAACAAAACCACCCACAACAATGGCTAACAATCCCCATCGAGATACAACTGAGGTCTGAGAACATGAATCAATGAGACTACTCATCAAACTCGTACTTCGTCCCTCCCCCCCCCCCCTTACTCCTTCACCACCATGTAGTAGTAAGCTGTGTAGCGTTCAACTTCACCAGCATAGTGTAGTGTCTGCTCACCATTTTGACGACAGTGGCGGACGGGGCCGCTCCGGCAGCGGCCGGCTGAACCTGGATGGTCCTCTGGACCACACGCACGGCGGGCGCGCGAGCCGCGGACGACACACCGGCCGCACGCACCACCTGGGCCTGACCGAGCCCAGAGCCGGACGGACGCGGCACGAAGGTCGGCTGTAGGACCCGCGGGCCGCCCGAGCTGGTGGAGGCAGCTGCGCCGGCGGAGGCCGTGTTGACGATGGCGCGGACGACGCCAGAGCCGCCGGCGGCCCGAGCACCCCCACCGCCGGCCGCCAGCGGCTTGGTGGGGGTGACCTGGAGCACCCGCACCTTCCGGGACACACCTGGAAACAGGGGCGAAACAGTAGGAGTAGCAAGATGAAATAGAGATGGCTGGCCTGAATGAGTGGACTTAATCTAGAATGATGACTTTAATATAAGCTTGCAAGGTGAATATTCAATACCTGCTATATTCTCTTCAGTAGCAAGAAATATAGCCATTAAAATAAAATAAAGCAAGAGAAAGACAGAGAAAGAAAGAGCTAAAAAAGAAAAGAATGAGAAGGGAAGATGGGAGAAGATGGGAGCTATGGAGGGGTGAAGGGATAAGGGGGGGGGGGGCTAGGGAGGCAAGGAGAAAGACGAATAGAAAAGGTGAGGTAAAGAGATACAGCTTAAAGAAAATAGAGAGGGATGATGCAAGAGGGAACAGGGGACAGAAAAAGTCAAGCATACAGAAAGGAGCATACAGAAAAAGACCAGGATAAATTGCAAAGAGTTAGTTAAATGGCAAAAATTAATGAAATCCAACTAACATATGTATTTAGCTACAGACAATAGAAAATGCATTTAGTACTTTCCTTATTTACATTGAAGTTTTCTGTTGAGGCAAAGCTTATTGAAGCAACCCCAATAAGGAACCTTCCATGAGAAGACAACACAACATTTCATTGATTTCATTTCCATTTATTTATTTTTTATTTATAGATGGAAATCAGGAATCCATTAAAAAAACAAAAATTTAATCAAACATTGACAGCTAAGAACCCAAAATGACCCTAGACTTCATTAATGTATAATGTAAGATTCACATACCATTGGCATCTTCAATCCAAACAGTTCCAAACTCCTGCTTCACCTCATTCTTCACAGCAGGAATTTCAGATGGGTTTGACATCACTGGAAAGCTGTGACACTGGGTTGAACTCCAACAGATGCACACTTGACCAATTTCTGGTTAGAACTGAAAAGCAGAAACTTTTAATTAGCCACATAACTTAAGATGCAAACACATCAACATAGGCAGCTTCAGAGAAAAAGTGTTTTATCTTTGTTCTGCAATCATTAATCTTTGCTCTCTTTACTCTGTAATCTTTGATCTCATTACAATTAGATTTTTTGTTGGCTTGATGACAAATTTCAAGACCTAAATGTTTAAGTTTAAGTTTAAGTTTAATATAGTGAGCTATGGTAGACAGGGTCTATTCGGTGCTCACTTCGAGCATTAAACTGGGCCAGACTGGGTAACTTAGGTACTGTGGATGTTAAAGAGAGAGGATAGCGCCGTAGTGGTCCTGAGCTTGTCTAGCCGGTTCTTGAAAGTGTTTGTGTTTTCAGACATTATGATCTCCTGAGACAGCTTGTTCCATGCTGAGACTACTCTGTTTGCAAAGAATTTTGCTCGAGCTTGGGTCCTGGACCTCCGTATCTCAAGTTTGAGCTGGTGACCTCTGGTCGTCCTTCCGTGGTGGCTAGTGAAAAATTGACCTGGGCGTACGTTCAATTTCCCCTTAAGAATCTTAAATGTTTCTATCAAATCTCCTCTTCTGATCCTTTCTTCCATACTTGTCATGTTTAGTACTTTCAAACGTTCTTCATATGGTACTCTTTTCAATCCATGGACTAGTTTAGTGGCCCTCCTTTGTATTTTTTCAAGTGCTTGCATGTCCTTATTCAAATAGGGACCAGCCGCTTGCACACAGTGCTCAAGATGAGGTCTAACATACACCGAAAAAAGGGTTTTGAATTTCTTCACTGTTAGTTGACCAAAGGTCAGCCTCAGTACCCTGAGGGCAGACATGGCCTTGTTTGCTGACTTAGAACAGTTCAATGAAGGTTTCAGTGTGTTGGTAATGTACACTCCAAGGTCCTTTTCTACAAGAGTTTCCTCAAGCATTTGTGGCCGCCCAGTTACTGTTTTCATTGTGTAAGTGAATCCAGGATTTTGGGAGCCGCAATGCATTACTTTGCATTTTTCCAAATTGAATTGCAACAACCACTCTCCAGACCACTTGGTGAGTATATCCAGGTCAGCTTGCAGCTTTAGAGCATCACTTTGATTACTAACAGGTCCATACAACTTGGTATCGTCTGCGTACATTTTAATCTTGCTTCTGACCAGGCTTGGTAGTTCATTGACATAAATGATGAATAATACAGGACCTAACACCGAACCTTGGGGTACCCCACTTCTGACTCTGGACCATGTGGACAACTTGTTACCAACCGAAATTCTCTGGGTACGGTTACTCAAGAAGTCTGATATCCAAGCAAGGACTTCTCCCTTGATATTATAACCTTGCAGCTTCACACAGAGTCTTCTGAGCGGCACAGTGTCAAAAGCTTTCTGATAGTCCAGGTAAATTATGTCAAGTCCTGCTCCCTCATCTACTGTCTTGGTCCAATCCTCGAGTGATTCTAATAAATTCGATTGACACGATCGGTGTTTTACAAACCCATGCTGGTGAGGTGATATAAAGTCATTCTCTTCTAAGTGGTTGATGATGTGCTTCTTTACTATTCTTTCTAGCATTTTGCAAACTTGACTTGTAAGGCTAATGGGCCGATAATTATTGGGTCTTGCTCTCTTTCCTTTCTTGAACAATGGAATGATGCATGCCTGTTTCCAATCACCAGGGAGCTCGCCAGCAGACAGAGACTTCTGGAAAAGCATGGTCAGAGGAGAAACCAGTACCTCAGCACATGATTTTAGCACCACAGCTGGTAACTCATCAGGTCCACCTGCTTTGCCTGGTTGCAGCTTTTGTAGCTCGCGTAGAACTTCTTCGGAAGTGATTGTGATGCTGTTCAATACAGATGAATCACTGACGGCCTGGGTAAAGTTTGGGATGTTTGTCATATCCTCATCAACAAATACAGTTTGAAAGTACTTATTCAGTTCTTCAGCTGTTTCATAATCGTTTTCAGTTAACATCCCATCATCCTTTTCCAGGGGTCCAACCTGTGCTCTCACATTTGAACGACATCTTACATATTTGTATAGCTTACCGGGGTTTGTTTTCAAGTCTTCAGTAAGTTTTGCCTCATATTCGGACCTCGCTTTCCGCAACATACAAGTAGTTCGGTTTCTCTGCTTAGCATATGCTTTGTACTCTTCACTTCTCTTGGTTCTCGCATATTCCTTCCAGGCTTTATGCTTTTTCTTCACTTCTTTGGTCAAAGCTTTGTTCCACCATGGTATCTTCTTCTTTCTTGTCTTCTTCGTGAAAATGGGCACATACTTGCTGATAGCCAGGTGCAATTCCCTTTTGATGAAGGACCAAGTTTGCTGCACATTCATTGGGCTTATCACACTCCATTCTGTCCTTCTCAGGTGATTTGACATATCTACATAATTCCCTTTGCCGAAGTTGTATCTCTTGAAAAATTCACATGCCTTCATCTTGTCATGCTCTTCGTAAATGCAATTCCAGGTAATCACAACATGGTCACTTTTACCCAAGGGTTGACTAGCTTCCAGTTCATCTACTAAGTGTCCACGGTTGGAAAATATTAGATCCAATGTTGATGGAGATTGACCGATTCTGTAGCGAGTTTTAAAATTAACATGCTGCTGAAGGTACAGATTTTGCATAGTTTCAAAGAAAGTTGCCTCCTCACTATCCCCTGGCCCTTCAACGTATCCATCTTCCCAACATATACGAGGAAAATTGAAATCACCCATAATAATAACATTTTTCATCTTCATTTGCATGGCTTCTTTAACTAGTAGTATCAACTTGTCATTGTTTACTTTGCAGGAGTTTGGGGACCTGTAGCACACCCCTACTAGAAGCTTTTCAGCATGAGACAGATGTATAGTACACCACACTGATTCTTCAAAGCCAATTTCATTTAACTGAGAACATTCAGTAGTCTGAAAACAATCTCTTACAAACAGCATGACTCCCCCACCTTTCTTATTTGCATCTCTGTCATGCCTCAGTACTGGGTGGTAACCATTCAGCACATAGCGATCCTTCAACCACACTTCTGATATCCCTATAATGTCGGGGCTTTTCTCTTCCACTAGGCCCTCAAACTCATCAATTTTGTTTCTTAAACTACTGATGTTTGTGTACAGACACGAGACCACTTTTGGGCACCACTTTGCCTCGAAAAATGGTGTGTGTCCCCTTTCCCTTTTGCAGGAGTTCTTCCCTCAACCTTTTCTGAGCCTCTCTTTCCTCAGGAGACAAATCTTTCGTCAAGTACACATTCGGATATCCTACTTCTTTCAGTTGTGTCCGTCTTTTAATGAGCTGGTTCACAAGATCCCTGTCTTTCAGTTTTATCATCATAAGCCTTGGTTTCTGACTGGCATTGGACCCAGATGACCCCTGAGTCTCCTGCTTCTTCCCCAGTCGAAAAACTTGGGCTATCTCAACTTTCACATCCCCTAGAAGGGAGGAGACGACACCCTTGAAACTGTTTGTGTCATGTTGCTTACGCACATCGGGATCTGGCGACATACTCTCAGGTATGTTATGTAATATGATATTGCTTTCCCTCTCATCTTTGTTTTGAGCCTGCACTATCTTTTTTATCTCGGCCGCACTATGTTTAAGCTCTTCTGTATACCGAGGGACTGTCTGTACTGCCTCCTTTTGTTCCTTCATAAAAACTTCTGTTTTTGCCTGTTTTTCACAAAGCTGTGCCACAGCTTTCTCTAAATGCCCAATTTTCTCTGTCAACAGTGCTCGACTTTCATCCTGTGTCTGGTCCTTGAGAGTATCCAAAATTTTCTTCTCGGCTTCAGCTATCCTAGACTCTAAATTGTTTCCTAAATCCAGAAGAGCAGTGACCTTGGGCCTGCATGCCGAACACAGCCACAGGAAATCATATTCTGACAGGGCTATAAATGCCTCCACAGACAGGCCCTGGCACTTTGGATGAAACCATTCTTTGCAAGCATCGCACATAATGCTATCTTCTTTGCTAGAGATAGATAGTCCACATACCTTTTGTCCTCCTTTGCACGTGTACCTTATTTTCCTGGACTTCCTCGCTGGACTCCAACCCTTCTTTTCCTTCCCACCTACCTCTTCACCCTCGCTTGCCTTGCTTTTTTCACAATCACCGTCTTCATCTTTTGTCTGTTCCTTGGTCTGTTCCACAGTTGCCTGCGCCATATTTGTCCCGGCCCGTTTTGGCGGCATTTGAAAATCTCCACAAGTGCTTTTGAAATAATTTTAATCACCTTTTTTCTTGTTTTTGTATCTTCTTTTTATATTTTTTTGTCTCTTTTCTTTTGTTTCTTATTCTAAGAAATGTTCTACTTCTTGAAAACACACCGGCACTTGCTGTGACCTTGGCTGTGAGGAGCTAATCTGGCGCACGTCCAAACAGGGCGAGGACCGGGAAGGAACTGTTTTGGAAGGAACTGTAAATGACAAATTTCAAGACCTAAATGTGCGTTGGTTTCAAGTATTTTTATTTCAGGACTGTATTTGCTTTGAAAATTGAAAGGTTTTAGCTGCACGCTACTGATAGAGCTCGAGATTGGGGTATTTCAAGTTTATTGATGCTTGTGCAACATTTTGAGATTAATTCAGATTGAAATCACACTTAGATATTTTTACAATGTTATCCTAGACAAGATTTACGCCTGACCTTTTTCAAAATACGAGCACAAGCCAGGAGGATAGATTCATAGGCATTAGGTACTTCAGTGGCTAAGATCAAGATCCTACTGATTTGGAAATTGGAATACTCCCCATTGCAATGCCCTTGAAACAAAACATTTCAGTATTGGTATTCTTATGGGCTATAACAATAAGAATACCAACAGTTCCATAAAATAAAATAGTTGACAGCGCCAGCTTCAAATGGGAAATATGCTTCAATTCACAAACTTCGCCGAATTCACACAAAAATAACTCAAAAGCACTTATGTGTACAAAATAACCTTGAGCAAGCACAAAGTAAACTTGGCATGGCGATGCAAAAATGGCGCTGCGATATTTCAAGTGTTTTCTACTTCTGTCATCGAAATGAAGAAATGAATATTACGATCGCTGATTCGTCTTCTTCTGTTAGTAAGGGAACGGAAAGCAATTTTATTGGTGCAATCTTCTTGTTTTCATTCAATCGAACAGCATAAAATATTTCGACATTTGTGACGCGGATGCGAGTTCTTCGTCGTCATACGTCTTTACCCATTGCCCTTGCCCATTGCCCATTGCCCATTCAGTCCTTGATTCAGTCATCAGTGGACGCGGTAGGTTGAATAGGTAATTAATTTTATTTCTATATTTTCATTTAAGCTTGTTGCTTCTTCCTATCTGTGCAACCTCATTCCAAATATCGTTTCTGCTGCCTTATGGAGTAAAAAGTTCATTATCATTGTATTTTAGACAGCTCAAGCTTGAGCTGGGGCCTGTTCAACTCACCTGTTGGGTTTCCTTGACTCACCAGTGCATGAGGAGAGGCAGGAAACCGTGTAGGAAAGAGACGCGCCAATTCCCCTGGTTACGCTGGGCGCTGAGAGATGGACCGCAGGGGATTGGGGTAGTGCGTCTGCTTGGAGTTGGGGGAGGAAAGATTCTAGATGTGATTAGCTGTGCGGTATCAGTTCAGTACCGGCTGTCACGGTACTGTTTGATTCGCTCCTTCGCGGAATCTGGAGTGCGCGGCGATGATCAGTAGCACCTTGCAGGAGAGCTCAGGCGATGTAGTCGAACAAACGATCACCAAGAACCTTCAGGAGTGATGACTTGAACTCGGCGAGGGAAGTGGAGGTGACCGTCGAGTCGGGCAAGGCGTTCCACTCGTTCACGACGCGTTCCGAGAAGAAACGTGATCTTGTGTCCAGTTGGCAGCGCCGGACTGTGATTTTGATAACGATTTGTCTTTCAATTTGCTGATTTTTGTCATTACTGTTTAATTTTGATCATGATAGCCTCAATCACCCATTTTACATTTAATTTTATGTGCAGATCAGATACTTAAATTCAACAGTCCTTGTCTGTAGTTTGGTTAGCCTGAGTGCTGTTCACGGGCACCTGCGGTGACTGCGGTAGCTGCGGTAGACCGCAGGCTGTAAGTCACGCCCACTTGTGTATACATAGTCACCGTGGTGTATACGTCATCACGTGTTCGTCTGCGGCGGCTGTGTCAATTTTGCGCCCAAGTAACACGAATGTGCAACTGCCGCGCCACTTTGTATGACAAATGGTTCCTGCGGCCGCTGCGGTCGGATCGTTTCGACCGCAGGAGACGCAGGCAACCGCAGCCGTATGACGTCACACCACCCGCCCCATCCCCACTTTCTGTGACCGTGACGTCATTACCCGGCTGACCGCGAAGCCGCAGCTACTGCAGGTGCCCGTGAACAGCACTCTGGTGAAGGCTGCTAACGTGGACAGAAGACAGTTGCTTATTTTTTGGTGGTTGGTATGAGCTTTCAGCTTTATCTTTTTTAGGTATCGTTTTCTTTGGCCATTCTAAAAAGCTAAAAATATTTTTAGTGAACAATCAGCAGTGCATTCATGTTTGTACATGTTGTGCCTATGGGTGAATAATCAGGTCAAGAATATGGTACCTATTCATATTAGCACTCCATTGATGTGACATTTGTTTGCACCATTATATTGGTTTTTCTAGTCAAATATATCTAGTTTCTGTTTGGCACTGTTTAATCTTAAGCCAGCTGAACTAATGCATCTGCTAGTTTTTTCAGGTTATCTCAGGCAGCTTATTTGGTATTAGTAGAGCAGACATCACACGAAAATGGTTTTCCAACCAAGGAGAGGCGCCATACCCGGAGGTGCTTCTTTCTAGGAAAACCTAAACAAACCTAATGTAACCTACAACTTACAACCTAAAAACCTACAACCTACAAACCTGCAAACCTACCCTACAACCTACAAACCTACAGCGCCTCTCCTCGGTTGGAAAACTTTGTGTGACGTCTGCTCTACTAATGCCACTTATTTTGGGTCACCAAAGAGCAGAGGGGAGAAGTGAGACAACTGTGGATCATTGATTCAATTCAAGCCTGGCTTCTGGGCCAGGGGACTGGAGTGCTTAAATATCCTATTCCTGAAGTCCAATCATTCTTCAATATGCACATGTCTTAACCCTCGCACGACCAGGCCATTTCTCATAACACGAACGACCAGGGGGGGGGGGTTGTTACGACCCCCCCCCCCTGGCGTTTCGAAACGGAAGGTCGTAGAGCTTAGCGGAAAAAACCAACGGATTGCTCTCAACGAGATCTCGCGATTGGTGGTATATTTTTTGGTCCTAGGTCAACATTTGACCTACTTATGACCGGTCAAAGGTCAAATTTTCCGAAAAATCAAACTTTTTCAACTTTCCGCGGCGATTGCGGCAAAACGGTGGGAGATATCGACTTGAAACCTTCACTATCGTGTTCCTTGATCAATTCTCTATCGTTTGGTATGTATTTCGTTTCCCTAGCTCTAAAAATGGCGCGTTGGGAGCGCCGGAGGTCGGCAAGGTCACAGTCGGCGGCAGAAATTCGAAAAATCAAAATTTAAATTTTTGAAATCTGATTGTATTTTTGGATTTGGGAGGTCCATTTGCTCCCTATAGAAGCTAATATTGCTGCATATTCCCATTGAGGTGACAAGAATTAGCAAAATAGTGGTTCGGGCGCTTTTCAAAAATAGTACCGGACGCTGTTCCTCTTGTGACGTCATAGCTCCGTGACCTGACCTGACCCGGTCAATTTTCTTGCACCACACGATAGCCAATGCTTGCCCCAACATGCATGGGAAGTTTCATCATGATCCATCAAACAATGTGGGTATCACCGGCAGAAAACCTAGGGATTCGGCGCACACGTTTGGTAACTGTCGGCCGGAGGCTGTACCTCTTATGACGTCATAACTCCGTGACCTGACATGACCCGATCAATTATTTTTCGGCAAAAGATGCGCAAAGGCTGCCCCAGAGGGTATTGAAAATTTCAGCCCGCTACGACAAGCCGTTTAGCGTGCACTTCGAAAAAACCTCAGGGGGGGGGGGTTGATACAACCCCCCCCCCCTAGGCGTTCTAGGGTTAAACATTAAACATATCTGCTCTTTATTATTTCCAGAGGTTTTGACAGACAAGCTGAGTGTCTCTTAAAAAGTGTTGGTTGCCTTGCACCATGACTGTTCTTACAAAGGTGAAGGTCAGCAAGAAGGAAGATGAGCCAGCACAGACCCATTTGGTTGAGCACAAATCTGAGGACAAGTTAGAGAAAGGGGTAAGTGGTTCAGAAAGATTACTTGGTCAGTGATAATATAATTTGCTGTTTTTGCGTTTTTTTGTGTTTATGCTGCTGCGACGCTTACCATTGTGGCTGCCAAGTTCCTAGGGGTGGGGGTGTTTGTGGCTGGGAAAACACTGCTTTTTAGTAGGTGACTTCCGGACATAAAGGGACAATTTTTTTGAAGTTGTGAAATTTTGCAACAGTGCAGACTGGGGAAGGGAGGCTTACATATGATGTCATAGCTCAGTGACCTAACTTTACTTTGATTTGAGAATGTGGTTAATGCCAAGATATTTAGCTTGGCAACTTTCAGCTGCGAGACCCTGCGAGTCATCGCAAAAAAAAAACGTCAGGTGGTCCCTTTACTCACTCTCGGAAGATAATAGAATCGAGTATCTAACTCCGAGAGGTATCATTATCATTGCACAGCTATTTTCGGACGCCGTCCATCACCCCCACTCCTTCCCCAGCTGGCGGCGGCCGGTGATGGCGAGGACGAGGTAGATGCCGACACGGTGCGCTACATGGTGCTGTCGCAGCGCGCGCGCCGTGTCAACGGCTCCAGCATCTGCGTGCTGACCGGCATCCTGCTGGTGTTCTCGGCCTGCCTGCTGTTCGGCCTGTTCTACTACCGACAGTCGCACCAGGTCAGGGTTAGTAGACGTGACAGAGACGGAGACGGAGCGGGACGACGGGACGTGTAACGCTGTGTGTCGCCTGTTCTGATTGAGCGGGGACGTGTGGGAAGGGATTGGGGACCAGTGGCCGTATTCACGTCGATCATTTTCGTAATAATTTTCTTAAGTTTGACCTACTTTTTAAGTATTTTTTTTTTAATCACGTTGAACTCCGTCGATAAAAACCTATGAAGTGTCGGCGTGAATACCAAATTAGACTTACGAAAAAAATCGACTTACGAAGTCGACGTGAATACGGCCCCAGGGTTGTTTGCGGGAAGGTAGGATATTGCAACTTTCAATCTTTTGTAGTGACCCTAGTGATGCGACTAGCATTTTGCGATGCTTGCATTTTTTACCCTCGTTAATTTTCTGCATCTACCTACGTTGATTTCGCTCTTCAAGCATACATACTCAATTATGATCAATATAACAATAATACTCAATGTAAATTACAATAATAATCGTTTGGTGATATCTACAAGCACAAAATTCCTAACTACCTTTGTCATATTTCATTTCACGTTAGCGCCAAGTTGACATGTTGACAGCGCCAAGACAATCATGTTGCAGAGTTTGTCGTTATTTGCGTCCCTTGTATATGCCGCATGCCTCTCCCTTGTGTTGCAGAGTGGCCGCCTGCACTCGTGGTGCAGCGTGCCGTTCCAGGTGGACCAGCCGACACTGCCTTCCAGTGAAGTCGAGGTGCTCTTCGACTCACCGGTACGTCGCAAAATTAGAGGGGCGTTTAGAGAATCGTCACGGGAGATGGGTGTCGTCGAAAGTGCTGAGAGAGTGTAGACCGACGGGATTCCCCTTGGTCAAACACGACGAGTTGTTTGCCTGGGATCGGCTGCGGCGTTGTATGTTGTAGATAAAGGGGATTTCCCATGGGGAGGGAAACCCATGGAGTTTATCGATCGCGATATAGGTACGTTTTCTGGCGTGCCGCCCGATAGGCAATCGATGAATTAACGACTGACATCGCGTAGGTCGGGAACCTAGTGTTATCTGTTCGGCGTATTGTATAATATTTCCTCAATCACACTTGACATTAATTGATATCCATTCAACTTTGACTTTGACGGCAAACTTTGCCCAATTATTCATTCACAAAACTAATCCCCAATGTGCACTCTGATATCAGCTATCATATAAGCTATCGTTGGCATGTAAGATTCATCGTGCATGTCATATAGTTGACGTTGCGTTTTCCTTGATATCTAAATGGCATTCGTGAACGTCTCGTTGCGCCGATGACCACCGCAGTCCGGGCGCCCCCCCCCCCCAACTTATTCGCCTGAATTATCTGTTGACCGCCCCCCTCCCCCTCCCTCAGCCCGGCGCCGAGCCTCGCACTGGCCCAGAGCCCATCCAGGACATGCAACCCATCTTCCATGAGGAGTTTGACATCGACTTCGAGGCTGACACCGAGTCCATGTTCGTTCCCAACTTCGAGCTCGGCTCCGGCGCTCGCTTCTTCAATGACTTCAAGTTTGTGAGTGTTGAATGCTTGAGAATGAAATAGGAGGCGTTAGGAGACGATGTGTTGGGTTGAGTTTTAGCATGATAGGTATTTTTGGGAAATGTGTCTACGATTGATGAGCAAGAAATGAGTAAAGCACTTGGGCGTTGGCTGATATGTCTGAATGTATTCTCTGACTGATACCTATACCGTGAGTGCGTGACAGCTAACGTGACTGGCATCTCCCGGCTCCACTGTGTGTAAAAGTGTCCATCGCACCACCACTTCCACCACAGTGTAACTGTACACCCGGCTCTAGTCTAACGCCGCGATGCCGCTCCCCAGACGCAGACGGCCATCATGCCCGAGGACCGCGACCTGTTTCCCGTCTGCCTGGTGATGGAGCTCGATGAGACCATGTTCCTGCGGCCGCGCCCGCTGGCCGAGCGCGTCCGCCTCCTGGAGCAAGGTACGTACGGAGGTTTAGGGCCAGCGGTGGGCTGATATCAGCCGCTTACATTTCGGTGGCTATGACTTTTTTGAGATTTTACGCGGTCTATTTAGGCATCTGTTTTACTTAGTTTTGCATGTCTGTGAGGAAGTTTCTGGTAAGTAACAGCATCAGGATTCCTGTAAGTCTTGTTTTTTTTTTTTTTGTATGTTTTAAAGGATAGAGCAACTAGCAAGCATAAAAATGTGTACTGATATGTCGCATATGATCGGCGTCAATTCAAAAGCAGTTGTACTATATGCGCTAAATTTATCATAATGGGTAGCTAATTTGGAACCGGTAGGAACTGTTCATTTGCCATTAGCATGACGCATGTTTAACGCTCTACCCGCTACCTGACGTGCCTTCGTAACATAAAACTAGAGTAAAGGGCTTGAGTCAGGTTTCCGCGAGGTCGTTACTTTCACCGGATCAAAATAGTTCGCTATTCGTTTTCGGCTTGGTAGAGCCAGAACCATCCGCCTGCTCGCTATGCCGTCTCAATCTAACATCGACACATGTCCTTTAGACACACTCTTCCCCACCTGCCCGGTTGCTGACATCTGACCTCTTCTCCCGCTTCCCGCGGGCCTCAGGTCTGGACGCTTCGCCGCTGGAGGTCACCCAGGAGAAGCTGGTGATCCAGTTCCCCGCTCTGACTCCTGAGTCCGGCCGGCTCAGTCCGGCCATCAGCCGGGCCTGCGACGGCGTCTCCATCTTCAAACTGGAGCGTCGTGACGGTAAGGAGCGGCTGCTGCATCATGGAGATGATGTGTCTCGGAAGGCAGTCAAACGCAGTAAACGTAACACGTATCAATTATGCATTATGCAATGGATGGACACTTTTGGGGGAAAAGTACTGGTTCGAAGATTTTGATCGATCGTTGACGTGGAATAGCTGCCAGCTGCATCGCGATTTCTTATTTCGACTCTAGTTTTATTTATCTAGTATTTTTGTCCGCATACGGTATCCACATTTTGCACACTCCGCGGGTGTGAGCATTTCACGTTTGTTTCATGGTGCATATGAGTGACATCTTGATGGCCATATCTGACCCCGGTTCCGTTCTGTCGCAGTGTTCAAGCGCTCGACGGAGGCCGAGGCGGGCACCCACTTTGCCGTGTTTGGCGGCAAGTCGGTGGTCCGATACACCATCACCAACCTGTCTGAGCTGCTGAAGAAGGAGTAGACGGGCCGATCGGCGGGGCACCACCAGAGGTCACCAGTGGTGTCAACGGTCACCAGCGATCACCAGCGGGTGCAGTCGGAGCAGACGGCACCCGCTGGCTGGCTGCCCTGGCGACGGCCGTCCGTGGAGCCTGCCCTGTAAGCTGTGCCCCGCCCGCGCCGGCGGCGCTGCTAGGTTATTACTCTGGTAGGGCGCTGCTAGGGCAGCCGCCGTCAACTGGCGGCCCGGCTTCGAGGCGAGCGGCCGCTACTTCTGTGGCGCCGAGCGTTTGCCGCCGCTTGTCTCGCAAGACAAATGTTTAGTCGTTTGCTTTATGCTCCCCGGGGTCTGTGTCCAAGTGAGTGCATGGGTTGATTAGTCACAATTTACTGGTGTCCGAGATCAGAAACATTCAGCATACACAGTCAGTATTGGCACTGAACACATTATCATCGAAACAGAAATATCAATAAGTGAAGATTGGGTCGCATGTCAAAACGCGATCTCAAAAACATGTATTGTTTCGAGCGTATAATGCACTCACTTCGGACACAGACTCCCAAGTTATAAATATACATCTTATTATACGAAGCCATCATATACCGCGTATGTTTCTCGTTAGTTAATGATCTCCCGTAGCAAGCGTGGCTGTGTGGCGTATACTTTCCCACTGTCTGGCTCGCTGGCTACCCGTGGATGCTTTGCGGGAAGTCTCTAGACTATGGCCGTTGTCTAATCATGTTTTGGGCATCGCAAATCATTGTCATGTTTATTCAAGCGGGGTATGGCGTGTTAAGCGCTAAAGCTGGCCGACCGTGACGAATTCGTTCAATTGGGTCATTCTAGCCAAGATTCATTTTGGTTTGGGTCATTCAATGCAGGTTTTATTCCGCTTTTCGTGTTGTCCTTCGACCATAGGACTGGGATCACAGGGGAAGGGGAAATGCTATTTCAATTACTTCTTGCTAATGATGTGGATATATTTTCGTCTCTGTGACTCCGTCTCCAATTGTCCAGCTGATAATGGTTCTTCATCAGGCATGTAGTGAATGACCCCATTCGGGGTAGAGTTGTGCACGGGAGAGTTGTGCACTACCTGTTTTGGGTATGTGTTTTGAGAGGCAGTTACCAAAAGGATTGGGCTTGCACGGAAATTGTGCGAATGGTTGCTTGGTGCTTCAAAGCTTTCTTCAATGTTCTATGTAAGCCGGGCTTACATGTAGTTAACAACATATTTTATCTTAGCACACATACATGGCTCGAAAATTGTCTCGTGTGTCCAGGATGTACAAATGTTATGCATTCTTTCGGTTAAAAAGCTAACGTGACTGTTGTCGACACTAATTCGTACAGGGCTGTGGAAGCACATGCACGTTAGGGTTAGCAACACTTAAATCGTAGTCAAATTGGACCATCGTCATTGCAGCGCCGTTTCACATTATTGGATGTTATTAATCATGTCTTGCGGTCTGTCTCAGGGCGATGAGATTTACGCACATTTTATCTTCATTCGGCTCTTGCTTGGTTCACCGCCGTTGCTGTGGAGTATCTGATCCGTGGGGATCTGTAGTAGTAGATCCGTACAGATGCCCTTCACAGGAGGTGATCGTATCGTTTCCGACGGTGCGAGAACTCCCGAAAGGTCCGAGTATCTGCGGGACGATGCCTCCGCCTAAAAAACAACGGGTGTGCCCATTGCGCGCTGTCAGTTATCACCAAATACAGACAACCCTACTGTCGCCGGCGTTTGGATTGGATTGTTCGCTGATGTGTTAGATGATGAATTTCGGGCGTGTGGAAGTGTAGGGCGAGTGATTCGCTTTAGTGGGGCAAGGGAATTGCTCATATGAGATTGAGTCAAGACATGTTTGCAGTTTGATGCGATTTGGTCATCCTCGCCTGTCGTCTGGTTCGGGTCTGGGCCCAAAAATTTTCAACTTTTGCCACCTCGAGGTCTGTCCCACTCAACTGACATCAATTGGCTGCAGCTGCTCCCACCAACGTCACCAACCGCAAACTGCATAGGTATCGTTCCTTGTTGCAAGCGTGAAGGGTCTTTGAGGGGATCCGAACCTGGGCTCTCATCACCAGCAGTCGAAAACTACTATCTGTAGTACAGTACTGGCTTATGTGAAATAATTCTGAATTATTTAAATCAAAAAACGTCCATTAAAACAACTGAAATGTGTTATTATGCCGTTATCTGCGCTGGGAAAACACAGCTTCACCAGCACCGTTTTATTTGGCTGCCGAGACCTTTTGTTTTGACACGTCGTGCGCCACATATGTATTTGTAAAGCCGGCCCGCTTGCATTTCAATTTTGAGAACAGGCCGGTGCTGAATTTTTACATAAAAAGTAATCAAATATCATCAAGATGAAGGTCATATGCTGCTTAGCTTTGCTATTCGCAGCTGCATATGCCAACAAAAACACCCTTGTGTTACTGGATAGTCTCACTGCGAAGGAAACTCATTCTATTTTCTTCAAATCTCTGAGTGGTAAGTCAGCGGATCAGGATTTTGATTTTGATTTGGGTCTGGGTGTGTTGTAAATTATTTTGCTGTTTTAAAAATATAAGAGCAATTGATTACATCTTAAATTTTATGAAGTCTTAACAGGATAGCTCTCAGTAATTTCATGACAGCGATTTAACTCTTCAGTTTGGTTACATCATGTTTGCGCAAATGCGAAGAAATGAATTTGAAAGCAAAATGTGCTACCTGCTTCAACTTTGCATGATTCATCACTGGTTTCTGTGGAAATGTTATCACCACTAGCTCTTAATTTGTATTTGTTATCTGGCTGTGAAATGTGAAGCTTTTTTCAATTATCACAAGAAGATAAAGATAATATCCTAAACACTAAAACGGGAATCTGAATCTTCAGGCTAGCAATTGATCTGCTATTTCCTAAGATCTCTGTTAACTGACAGTTCAATCACAAGATGCAATTGCTACTGAAAAAGTGCAACCTGTTGAAGTTTTACAACCTTTTGTGGGTACTGAAATTTATGCAAATTGCCAGATTGAAAACTCACTCTCTCTCTCTCTCTCTCTCTCTCTCTCTCTCTCTCTCTCTCTCTCTCTCTCTCTCTCTCTCTCTCTCTCTCTCTCTCTCTCTCTCTCTCTCTCTCTCTCTCTCTCTCTCTCTCTCTCTCTCTCTCTCTCCTCTCTCTCTCTCTCCCTCTCCCTCTCCCTCTCCTCTCCCTCTCCCTCTCCCTCTCCCTCTCCCTCTCCCTCTCCCTCTCCCTCTCCCTCCTCCCTCTCCCTCTCCCTCTCCCTCTCCCTCTCCCTCTCCCTCTCCCTCTCCCTCTCCCTCTCCCTCTCCTCTCCCTCTCCCTCTCCCTCTCCCTCTCCCTCTCCCTCTCCCTCTCCCCTCCCTCTCCCTCTCCCTCTCCCTCTCCCTCTCCCTCTCCCTCTCCCTCTCCCTCTCCCTCTCCCTCTCCCTCTCCCTCTCCCTCTCCCTCTCCCTCTCCCTCTCCCTCTCCCTCTCCCTCTCCCTCTCCCTCTCCCTCTCCCTCTCCCTCCCCCCCTCCCTTTTTGTCTGTCAATGCCCCTCCTCAATCCTCCCCTCTTCCCTCCCCCTCCTCTTTCCCCTCTCCTCTGTCTATCAGCTCTCTCTCCCTCTCTCTCTCTCTCTCTCCCTCTCCCTCTCTCTCTCTCTCTCCCTCTCTCTCCCTCTCTCCCTCTCTCTCGCCCCTCTCTCTCCCTCTCTCTCTCCCTCTTTCTATCCCTCTCTCCCTCTCTCTCCCTCTCTCTCCCTCTCTCCCTCTCTCTCTCTCTTTCCCTCTTCTACTCCCTCTCCCCACCCTGTCTTTCTCTCCTCTCCCACTTCTTATTCCTCTCCTCCTCACACTTCCTTCCCCACTTCCTTCGCTTCTCCTCCCCTCTCCCTCTTCCCATTTGCACACTCAACCAAGTTACTGGGATAAGAATAGTTAGGTACTTGTGGTTATAGGCACAGTAAGGTATCTACCTCCTAGTCATTATGGTTGCATGTTTATGTCAGATCTATAATTTTAGTACATCCGTCCATACCTAACATAACATCGTGCCACTATTCCAGAGCGTGGATACAAGTTGACTTTCAAGACCGCCGACGACCCCTCTCTGAGCCTGTCCAAGTACGATGAGTACCTGTACCAGAACCTGGTGATCTTCTCGCCGTCGGTGGAGGAGTTCGGCGGATCGCTCAGCGCGGAGGCCGTCATCAACTTCGTGGATCGCGGAGGTAAGGATCGGGCTGGATGATCAGCAGGATTCAGCTCTTAGATGGATGTCCCATAGTCCATGCTATACCTCATGATTGCCATCGGACCTTTAGACTGTGGTTCAGTGTGATGCATTCGACTGAGGTGTTTGAGCTGCCGATTCGAGCTGAGTTCTTCAGCGTTGTTGATGCTGTACTGTTCATGTCGCTCATCTTTCATAAGCCTTTATAGCAATTATGTTTTGACTATTACAATTACTGCCAGACTAGGGTTTTTATTAAGTTTCTATCGTGATAAAGAACAGCCTTGCATATCTGTGAAAGTGAGATTGATGGGAACCACTCGCGCAAAAGAAAAGTTTGTCCTTGAATGGTGCATGTCTCAGCATTAAAATTGGCGCGTACGACTCCACCGTGGCTTGGAATTATGTCAGCATCTCCGTCTGGTGCCCTCATGATATGCACACCCACGATCGACGATCTATTACGTGGGCCGTGGGCGTGAATACATAGACATCCTTGTCCTTGTCTTCACAGTCATGATTTACGTCGCTAGTAAGGGTACAAAAATATCCGACTGTGCACTGTCTGGCATTTCTATTGTTAATCATAGTAGGGCATGGCATTGCGATAGATAATAACCGAGAGATATCAACGCAATATATGCAATGGCACAATTCATCCAAATTTTGCAGTGACATTACTGAAACGTTTATCACCTTATGCTTCATAAAACACAAATATAAATTGAGTTATTTAGGTCTCTCGGTTTTAGCCAAACCGATGCTATCCGGATGAAAAACAACTAACATGAATTTTTAAGATGCTGTTATTATTGTTGTTTTGGCTTCTGGCGGATCAAATCAATGCACATTTTAATCGTCGGTACCTGTCATCAATCATCATTGATCAATTTCAGCCTGTGGTTTTTCACATCGCTGATTTAATTGGAGCTTTTTTCGACTTGAATTTAAACATTGTGGTCGTCAGTGTATGCTCCTTCACATAAGCTGTCATTATTCCGATTTCTCCTAAACGCAAAAACAACGTCCAAGATGCAAACGTTGTGAGCCTGGGATGTAAGAACCGATAGTTAATCAAACGCCATCAGCGCTGATTACGCAACCATAACCGATGGCCGGAAACGGGCTTCTTTTAGAGACGTTTGTCATTTTCAATTTACTTTAGAAGATTGTCGTCGTTTTAACTCTGTTTTCTAGATAGGAACAAAACATATATGATTTGTCGGTATTTTTATTTCACTCTCGTCCCTGAGATTTACAAAACAGACCGTAGTGATTAAAACAAAGGCACGCGGTACCTATTATAATGCACCCGTCCACTGCAATAGTTTTCCTTAGTCTTCCAGGACTACTCATCTCAATTCATGCGTCGTTCGGGCGAATCAAGCATCACTCCCAGTCCAATTTTCATTTTCATTCATTATTTCATTAGCTCCAGCGTCCATCGCCCGCATCGGATTCTCCCGCCTTCCCTCTACCGCCGACACCGACCTGCTAGTCGGTGGGCACGACCTCGAGCGCCTTCTGACAGAGCTCGGTCAGGCGCCGCATGCCAGGCGCCGAGTGGCCGTAGAAGACGCACGGTGTGTACACGACCACCCCAAACAGCAGGAAGCACAGCACGTACACGTACTCGAGCTTGGGCGCGTCGGCGATCGGGCCGACCACCAGGTACATGGAGACCAGCAGCACCACCACCGGGATCCAGAGGTGGACGCGGTACGGCCGCGGCAGCTCCGGCTGCGTGCGGCGCAGGATCAACAGAGCCAGCATCACCAGTCCGTAGAAAATCCACACGCTGAAGCTGAAGAAGTCGATCAAATTGTCGATGTTGCCGGCAGCGATCATGCCCGATGTGAGCACGGCGTTGAAGAGCAGCGCGGGCGCCGGCGTCAGGTGGCGTGCGTGGATAAAGCTGAGGATGTCCACCATGTGGCCCTGCCGCGCCGAGGCGAAGCAGATGCGGCTGGTGCTGAGGATGGTGCCGTTGAGCGCGCCGGCCACCGAGAGCGCCACGCCGACTGGGATGAGGAACGCCACCGGTCCTAGCACGCGGTCGGCGAACGTGACGGCCACGGCCGGCGAGGCGAGCAGCTCGCGCGGCGAGAGCACGCTCAGGTAGGCCACGTTGATGAGCAGGTAGCAGATGGTGACCAGCGGAAGCGCCACCACGATGGCCAGCGTCAGGTTGCGCGCCGGGTTGACCACCTCCTCGGTGAGGTAGTTGAGGTTGTTCCAGCCGTCGTAGGCCCAGAGGCCGCTGTAGAAGGCGGTGGCCACGTCGCTGGCCGAGCTCGTGCTGCCCTGGAAGCCGGTGGCTAGGTGTCGGGTGTTGCCCTGGTAGAGCGAGTACACGCCGCCGGCGACCACCAGCGCCACGGCGCTCAGCTTGGAGACGGTGAAGAGGTTCTGCATGCCAGTGCCCATGCGCACGCTGTAGCAGTGCGCGATGGTGATGAGCCAGCAGGCTGCGGCGGCCACCAGAGGGATGACGGCTGGCGGCGGCGGACACTCGACACTGAAGAACGGCTGTACACAGTACTCTGCAAACGCCAGGCTCAGGATGGCCGTCGATGCCGGCTTGGTGATTAGGTTGATGCTCCACGATGCCAAGAAAGCCGGTAATGGTCCGAAGAAGCGATGCAGCGGTCCAAAGCCGCGGAACAGATACGAGAACTCGCCGCCCGACTCTGGAATCACGAGGCCGAGCTCAATGTAGCAGAGCGCGCCCAGTGTGCTGAGAACTCCGCAGCCGAGCCAGACGAGCAGCGACAGCGCCACCGAGCCCGTCCGCTCCAGCACGCCCTTGGGCGACACGAAGATGCCGGAGCCGATCATGGTGCCCACGATGATGGCCGTGCCTGAGAAGGCGCCCACAGTGCGCGGGATGCGCGTCTCGTGGCCGGAGTCGGCAGCAGACGGTTGGAGACCATCTTTAGCTCCACTGCCCTTGCCTCCCTGCCTGCTCCGAACTCCATCGTCAGCCGTGAAGGCCGGGTTGTCCATCGCTGCTGAGCTGCACAGTAACGCGCCGTCAGCAGTGACTCGCGTCAGGCGTCCACCTGCAGTCCTTGACTAAGCTGAAATGACACCACTAACCACCGGGCTGTCCTCCGACACCTCTGGTGTCCGCACCTGCACTGGCGGAGCTGTCTGGCCGAGTGGGTGCGGTGCTCCCTCAGACGTGCTGGCGGTATTGTGCTCTCGCCGCCGATGTGACCGGGTTTGCCGGTGCACGTAAAGCGTGACTGTCGCTGCATTCGCCGGCCGCTAACGCCGCCTCATCACAGAGGCAGGAGTCTGACTGGGGCCACAGCTGGGGCTCTGCTCAGTATGGGCTTGAATAGACCATGCGATAGTCTGTCAAAATATGGCTTTTGTTTGAACAGCTGTTTACGGTGTCAGTATCTTCTATTCGTTGAATTTAGACGAAACTTTATGTAATAATTTCCAACATGTAGCCTGAAATCAATTATAATTGTTAGAAAACCCCCCTCTCTGACCTGGTGGGCTTCATCCCTCTCTAACCGTCATCCGCTGCACGCGAAATGCTGCTGCGTATTCAAAACCGGTTTTTGACAGCAGGAGCACAGCACCCAAACGTTATGGCGCAGGTACAAGTTCATGGCCAACGCCGTTCTTTTCCGCTGTACCCTGTATTGGTCTAGTCATGTAAGAGATATGCACTGAATGTCAGGCCCGTAAAGCTAGGTTCACAGGAATGCTGTAAAGAGGGTTACCCATTACCCAGTTGTTAGGGAATGGACGACAGGCCAGATGTTGAATCCAGCTTGGCCGTGACGTGATGATTCCCGGAGACTCGTGTTTAATCGTCTGTGCTTCAATCATGTTAGGTGACAAGGCGTCTTTTGAGTGTTGTTACCCGATGTCTGTAACATGGCGTAGGACAAAATTCTGCTGTTTCACTGGGATGCGTCGATGTCCAGCTATTCATTCGGCTAGTATTCGCCAGTTTTCTTCTCTAGCAAATAAATAACATAATAAATCGAATCTCGGCTGCCCAAACACCACCCAACAGCCTTACCATTGACCACCCGTCGCCCCTCTCCACCAGGTAACCTGCTGGTGGCCGGCAGCGCCAACTCTGCCGACGTTCTGCGTGAGATCGCCTCTGAGGTGGGCTTCGAGCTGGACGAGGAGGGCGCCAGCGTCATCGACCACCTCAACTACGACGTTAAGGACGAGGGTCAGCACACGCTGGTGGTGGCCGAGCCGGAGAACCTGGTGAAGGCGGTGCCGATCGTCGGCAAGCCGGGCACCGCGCCGCTGCTGTACCAGGGCACCGGCATCCTGACCGATCGCGAGAACCCGCTGGTGATCGAGGTGCTGACCGCCTCCAGCTCGGCCTATAGCTACAACCCCGACAGCCACGTCACAGAGGTACGAACCGGGGTGCTAGTGATGGAGAAAAGGGCTGTTTAAGTGAACATTGTGGAATTTAGGTTTCGGTAGACACAAATGGGAGCTGTTGCTACGAGAGTCGGATAAAGACTAGAAGCAGGATGGATCCGTTTGGGTTATTGATGTTTTTGTTGAATATCTGTGATTGGGTTTGATCCCCAGGGGAATAGAGGGTGAAACGTTTAGGATTTGTAGATGAATAGTGCCTTAGCGACATCTTTGTTGACGTAATTTTCTGGCGTCCTGTTTCAGTTCCCGCACGCGGTCGGCAAGTCGACGGTGCTGATTGCCGCGCTGCAGGCCCGCAACAACGCCCGCGTCGTGTTCTCCGGCTCCCTCGACTTCTTCTCCGACAAGTTCTTCACCTCTGCCGTCCACAAGGCCGTGAGTTGTGGCGCCGAGGCCGCGGGAGTGACGTAAATTCTGCGATACCTGACACGTTTGGTGTCTAGCTGTGATTTATAAGCCCTTTCTAGTAAAAAATAACCAAGTTTGCCGCTGTTTCATGAATTCAACAAGTTGTTAACTTCCTCTGCAGAAGTGTGACCTTTTCACCTTTCTCGATTATGTTGAATAATTTTGCCATCGACTTGCTAGCCACTGCTGGACGTAGTTTCCCCTCTGCCCCTCTCTCTCACCTTGCTCCTTTTGCTGCAGGGCGGTCGCCAGTTCCTCAAATCTGGAAACGAGGCGCTGGCTACGGCGCTCTCCAAGTGGGTGTTCCATGAGACGGGAGTGCTGCGCGCCGGCAACGTGAAGCACCACAAGAAGGGCGAGACCCAGCCTCCGTCCGAGTACACCGTCACCGATCAGGTGGTAAGTGACGGGGGCGGGGAACAGCGCCGGGACTGGGCAGGTGGGGCAGAACGTGGGAATGGCGGGATGGGTGGAGGAGGCTGGGAGGGGTTAGTGTGACGGTCGGGAGTGGGAAAAGAAAGGCAGGGCCGTTGCTGATGCTGATATATAATTTAGAGAACTGCACACAGGAGTTGGGATTCCAGGAGTCCCACCCGCCATGAAGATATTGTGTTTCCAAGTCTAAAAACAGCTAACTTTCGTAAATCATTAATCGTGAGGATATTTTGTTAGCCCGTCCCTGGCCGGAGTTGACGTAAAGCAATTAAACGCTTAATTTATTATCGTGCCGCGGAAGAGTAAAACCGCGTCACTCGACTTTCTCACTAGCAGTGACCTCTGCAGCTGTCCGTCTCCCGTGTGCCGTCCGCCAACCGTTTCCCTATGTCCGTCCCCAGGTGTACAGCGTGGAGCTGGAGGAGCTGATCGCCGACCAGTGGGAGCCGTTCACTGCCTCCGACGTGCAGCTCGAGTTTGTGCGCATCGACCCGTTCGTGCGTACCGCCCTGAAGCCGGGACCGGGCAGCATGTACAGCACAGAGTTCAAGGTGCCCGATGTGTACGGCGTGTTCCAGTTCAAGCTGGAGTACCAGCGGCTGGGCTACACGCGCATCTACAGCACCACACAGGTGAGGGAGAATATGGGGTGGTGGATTGACAATGAGTGGGCGTTGTGATGAAAGTGGGGCAGGGGTACAGAAGAAAGCACGATGAAACTGACAAAACGATGAATATCGGGGATCGTTGTGACTCTGCAGTCTGCTTAGTCACAATAATCCCTTATGCACGCAGAAGGGGAGTTTTTTTTTTGCGCACAAATTTGAATATCCATTAAGCATCATTTCGTTGGTCGTCCTGTTAATCGTGCTTATGCTGTAGCCATCGCGCCTGAATAGTATATGTGGATTATGGAGTTATTCTAGCAGCTGATAATGCTGCGTTTTCTACCACTTTTCTGACCAATCATGCCCGACGTTCGCAGGTGTCGGTTCGTCCGCTGCTTCACACGCAGTACGAGCGCTTCATCCCGTCGGCATTTCCGTACTACGCCAGCGCCTTCAGCATGATGGTCTCCTGCTTCATCTTCAGCTTCGTGTTCATCCACTTCAAGGAGGAGCCGGCCAAGTCCAAGGCCGAGTGAGCAGGGAAGTCTGTGATGACGTGCGTTCCCACTGCCTCCTAAACGGGACAAGGGCAAGTGCTGTTTCGAGTGAGCGCTTGTGAACGGGGATAGCACAGTTGTGTTGCTTGTATGTGAGTTTGTTCGTTTTGTCCAGGTGAGAGATTCCGCGGATATGTGGTGGCTTTGTCTTTGAGGAAGATATTTGATTGGGGGAGGGGTTCTGAAATATGCGCTTCGGGCACTTCCTGAGGATGAGACGATGTTTGCAACTAAAAAGCATTTAGGCCTGTTGGCACGCTGGTTTGGACTGATGTGCATATTATCAGCTTTCGGAACATACATACAGTTGACAGCATTGAATCAACTAGTCATTCGTATTTCGTGGTATGGCTATGAATCGAAGCACCAGTGATGATTTTTGAAACACCTCGAACTTGTCATTCCAGCGCGTGTGGTACTAGAAATAAAGAAAATTTTACTCATTGAAGTGTTTTCTCGCTGCATTGGGCGATGTCGTAGGTGTTAAGGTGGCATTCAGACAGCGATGCAATTAAATGGGGGGGGGGGAGGAAAATAAAAAATGGGAGCAAGGAGCAATCGCGGATGGAACTCTACTTTGATTGGGGGAGGGGTTCAGGTTCAGTGTGATAGGGCGCGCTCTGCTACATCGACGTGCCTGAACCCGACGTGCCTTGGAAAAGTAGCCCATTGGGAATAATTCAATGTGATATGAACGGCCATCTAGCGGTACTTGGCACATACATGCAAGTAGTGTGGTGATGCACCAACAGTTGCCATACCACTGATAGTCAGGACGTGTAAAAAGCTATCTGTGATAGAATTGTTAATGATACGGATACAATTGTAAAAACACAGACTGCCTATATTTATTTTGGATCGACTGCATTTTTTTTTTTGTTACACGCCTCAGACGAACGTGACGCAGCATGCAACGCCTTAATTCCGAATGAGTAGAGGCCTAATCAGTATTCAATTCAGGCACCAAGGTTGCCTCCATTATGACGGGTTAGCGGACACGGTGAAAGCGGCGACCGCCAGGCTTTACGTGCACCAGCACCCGTCCGCAGTGGAAGTGAGAGTATCATGACGGTAGCACGTGTGTGGCAGCGTCTCCCGGCGTGGCCGTCTGAACAGACGTGACCGGACCGCGGATGCGTGACTCGGAGGACGGTAACGGTCGTGGCTGGTGTGCTACTCGTATGGGCCACATAGTGCAGGTTTCTTGAGCTACTGCTCACAGCGCATTTCTGTGCAAGTGCGCCAAGTGAGCATCGATGGACAACCCGGCCTTCAATGCCGACGATGGAGCCTCTCCTCGGAGCAGGCAGGGAAGTAAGGACAGTGGAGGTAAAGATGGTCTCCAACCGTCTGACGCCGACTCCGGCCACGAGACGCGCATCCCGCGCACGGTGGGTGCCTTCTCAGGCACGGCCATCATCGTGGGCACCATGATCGGCTCCGGCATCTTCGTGTCGCCCAAGGGCGTGCTGGAGCGGACGGGCTCGGTGGCCCTGTCACTGCTCGTCTGGCTCGGCTGCGGAGTTCTCAGCACACTGGGCGCGCTCTGCTATATCGAGCTGGGCCTCGTCATTCCAGAGTCGGGCGGCGAGTTCTCATACTTGTTTCGTGGCTTTGGGCCGCTGCATCGCTTCTTCGGACCGCTGCCGGCTTTCCTAGCCTCTTGGATCATTAATCTTATCACTATGCCGGCATCGACGGCCATTCTGAGCCTGGCGTTTGCCGAGTACTGCGTGCAGCCGTTCTTCAGTGTCGAGTGTCCGCCGCCGCCAGCCGTCATCCCTCTGGTGGCCGCCGCAGCCTGCTGGCTCATCACCATCGCGCACTGCTACAGCGTGCGCATGGGCACTGGAATGCAGAACCTCTTCACCGTCTCCAAGCTGAGCGCCGTGGCGCTGGTGGTTGCCGGCGGCGTGTACTCGCTCTACCAGGGCAACACCCGACACCTGGCCACCGGCTTCCAGGGCAGCACGAGCTCGGCCAGCGACGTGGCCACCGCCTTCTACAGCGGCCTCTGGGCCTACGACGGCTGGAACAACCTCAACTACCTCACCGAGGAGGTGGTCAACCCGGCGCGCAACCTGACGCTGGCCATCGTGGTGGCGCTGCCGCTGGTCACCATCTGCTACCTGCTCATCAACGTGGCCTACCTGAGCGTGCTCTCGCCGCGCGAGCTGCTCGCCTCGCCGGCCGTGGCCGTCACGTTCGCCGACCGCGTGCTAGGACCGGTGGCGTTCCTCATCCCGGTCGGTGTGGCGCTCTCGGTGGCCGGCGCGCTCAACGGCACCATCCTCAGCACCAGCCGCATCTGCTTCGCCTCGGCGCGGCAGGGCCACATGGTGGACATCCTCAGCTTCATCCACGCGCGCCACCTGACGCCGGCGCCCGCGCTGCTCTTCAACGCCGTGCTCGCTTCGGGGATGATCGCTGCCGGCAACATCGACAACCTGATTGACTTCTTCAGCTTCAGCGCGTGGACCATCTACGGGCTGGTGATGCTGGCTCTGCTGATCCTGCGCCGCACGCAGCCGGAGCTGCCGCGGCCGTACCGCGTCCCCCTCTGGATCCCGGTGGTGGTGCTGCTGGTCTCCGTGTACCTGGTGGTCGGCCCGATCGCCGACGCGCCCAAGCTCGAGTACGTGTACGTGCTGTTTTTCCTCCTGTTCGGGGTGGTCGTGTACACACCGTGCGTCTTCTACGGCCACTCGGCGCCCGGCATGCACCGCCTCACAGAGCTCTGTCAGAAGGCGCTCGAGGTCGTGCCCACCGACTATGGAGCTATAAAGGGGCCATGCTGATGTCGGCTGTAAACTGAGAGTCTAGAGAATAGAGATGGTCTCAGAAACTGAATTAGAGGTGGGAGCAATAGGCACTAGGCAGAGGAGCAGCAGGGCTGCCAGTTGGCAGCTTGTTTTACTATTTACAGGCTGTCTTTGCTTATCTCAGGGTCGGGATGAGTGCTAATAAATATCACGAGTCGAGACCGCTCCTTAGACCCGGCTGAGTTCTTCAGTACCGCCGTGAAAAGGCAAAAAGAAAAAAGGCAATATACGGATCGCTTCTCAATGCGACATAGGTGTGATTTTACCTGATTCTTTGCAAGTTAAAAGGCGCGATGTGTGATAAATCTTGCAATATTGTCTAGGAGAAGCACGTTGAACATCAGAAAACGCGTTGCTTATTTATTGCCGAATACCTGACCTAACTTTTCTCTAACTAACAGCTGACTATTTTCTAGAGATCGTGGGCTTTCGATGTATCGTTTGGACAGTCACGGGCAGACGGCTCCCGCCACTACTCCCCTGTTATTTCCTCCCCTCCGTCCCGGTAGGTTTACTGGAGCGTGGTTCCGCTCCGGGAGGCGGGGAGGGCCGGACGCCGGAGGCCGGGAGGGAGTGACTCCCGCTCTCTCACCTCCCTCACCGCGACGGTGGCCCACGGGCTACCTATCCTCCTCGCCAACAGTGACAGTGAAATTTGAATGGCAGCCGCTAAGCCCACTTTCTTTCTACCGCTTTGTTTGTATACCTAAGTGCCACCGGTTGACGTTCTTCAATGCCTTTCACGAACGAGCTGTAACAGCAGCGAGAAAGAACGTCTTGTCGCTGGTCGGACTAGAGCTTATCCGGACTTTCACATGTCCCGACGAACCTGACAATGTATACTGTGTAGTATTTTCTGCTAACAAAAAAGGTAAAAAAGGTATAACTTATCTATTTTGATTTTCAATTTGATCATGCGAAGGGTTTTCAAGTTTGCGTCGACATAAATGTCGACTATACATTCATCAAAATTTTGTACTCCCAGCGTCGATAATTATCCAAGCCGTCCTGATACCATGGTATCTGAGAAACGTCATTGCAATGACCATTCTCAGTGCCCCATTTGATTTTATTCGTAAAGTTCTCACCTCCACCCAGGCACCCACCTCTCGTTCACCGTACCGGCAGGGGGTCAGCCTTCGACCTTTCTGCTGCACCGGACGTGCCCTGTCGGCAGGTGGCGCCACCGACGGCGTCCATCGGCATACCCCGGGGGCATCCGACGGCCGACCCGCAGTGTACCCGGCGACACAGACCAGCGCGCCGCGCTGGGAAGGCCGAGCCGTCGAGCGTGGCGCGTGCCCCGAGCGAGGGTGGCTCCTCCACGCGATCAGCCGAGCTCGACAGTGCTGCGTCGGCAGGCGTCAGGGAGGGTGGCGCAGAGGCGATACTGGCGGCGATTGTGGCGAGGAGGGGTGACGCGTCACGATTGTGATGGAGTTGTGATGGGGGTGATGGAGAGAGGGACCTCGTGCTCGGGACGGATGTGTGCGATGGGGCTGATGGGAAGGGATAGGAAGAGACGGACCTTGAGCCGGTGTTGGACTCAGAAGGCACAGCTGTGTCCCAATGTGCGGTGGCTTGGACTGCTGGGATTCGTAGTCACAATGCTTCCCGGAGCTTTCAGTCAAGGTAAGAACGACCTGATTTGTTCGCAAAGTTATGGTTACGTGTCGTTAATAAAAATAGAAAGATGTGTCAAATTATATCGGTATGCCCGATGCCGAATCATTCTTTTCTTCTAGCTGCCTTTGTAACAGCGTCAAGCTTGGATGCACCTTACAGACGTGTGCATAATACTGTTGGTGTGTCCATAATACCTTTAATTACCTATGGTAAGGCAACAGCTTTTTTAACCCTCGCCGGCACAGGGGGGTCGATGCAAACCCCCCTAAGGTTTTTCGCGAATAACTCGCGTCAAAAGCAGCTGATCGCGACGAAACTTACAGTACCCTCGCATTGCTCAATTTTACACCTACTCTGAAAATTTCATGACCCTGACCCAAATGACCTTTGACCTGTGACCTCTTTTCCGAGACCATGTTTGCCCGGAATCACGATTCGTATATGTCGGCTCGCATTAGCCGCGCGTTTGCAAGCTTTTCGTGGTTTCAAATGCTCAAACATGTGATTTGGTGTTGCTCCCATGCATTAGGGTGGGTGTCAAGGTCACCTGAAGGTCAGGTCAGGTCATTGACCTTTGGTGACCTCGGTTCACTTTTTCGAGTTTTACATGTTTCTAGGCTAGTGTTTGGAGCTGAATTCGAATTTAGCAACCATTTGAACAAGTACGAAGGAGTTTTGGTGCCTTCGTAACATGTTACGCGAATCTGTCAGAGGCGGATGACAGGTACTGCGAATACCCGTCACGACCCCTACTGGTTGACCTGACCTGACCTGACCCGACCTGGTCTAAACGCTTAACGACATCATCTGTGATCAAAACTAACACGATATTCGTGATCAGCATCCCCGAAAATCCCTAAACAGCCACACTTTACGACTTTCTAACAGGTCCCGATATTCCCGATTTTTGGGTCATTGACCTGACTTGAAAGGTCAACTGATGACCTAGGACCCTAAAATTGGGTATCATTGGCTTCCTCTCGTGACGGGCAACACGCTCGTTTTTTCCGCGAAGCTCTAGCTCCATCAGGGGCCAAACGCGAGGGGGGTCGTAACACCCCCCCCCCCCTCTTGTGCCGTCGAAGGACTCAAAATGGCCTGTGCCGGCGAGGATTAAGCTTACCCCTTATGCTAGTAAATTGAGGATGCACATGTTATTGCATTGGTAGGTATGTTTCAACTATCTCACTGATTTTTCACGACTTCCCCGATTCATTTGGAGTTTCGAGGGGCCAATTCTGGCACGGCATCCCTTCCGGCCATTGGATCGACCACCGAAACATCCATCATCCAGATTCCAGTATCATTCTTCATATCCCTAAGTTGCTATCATTGGATGATCGGGCTGCCTCGCTTATCTCTTTGCTGGGACATAGGCTGTGCCGCACTACATCCATGCGTTGCGGCACAGCATGCTACTGCATTCTAGCGGACCAATGCCGCAATGATCAACGCAATTTAGCCAGTTTGCGTTCGCAATTACCTCTCACTTTTAAGCAACATTTCCACACAAGAGCCGCAAGGCCTGAGGTGTTGAAAGATGAAGTGACGCTATATCTAAGACGTCTGCTATCTAGCGTCTAGAAAAGAAACATTATGTACCGATACGATGGTTTAAGGCTGCATTGCATGCCCAAATGACCCTTGACTTGTGACCTGTTTCCCGATACCATTGCATGCATTTATGATTTACACTAAAATGGCAACCAATATCGTTTGCCTGTCAACTTCAATGAGAGCACGCGGCCTAAAGATATACTCGAAATCAGGCCATTTTGGTGGGCCAGCGGCCCAGCTGACCAGAGCTATTCGAAAATGTAATGTTTTTTACACTAATCCCTGAACGTCTCACTCGGCTGAGCCGGCACTTTCCTCTGCGAATAGTCAGTCCTGATGGTGATAAAGTGGAGTGGGCGCCCCACTCGCAAGAACCCTAACTCAAATGACCTGTGGCTTGTGACCTGTTTCCTGATACCATTTCAGGCCAGAATGGCGATTTGGCAAATGTCAGCGCACATTATCCAAGCGTTTTCAGACTGTTGTCTGTTTGTGCTTAGAAACACGCTAACATATGAAATGACGTTTTTCCATGGTTTATGATGGGTGTTGAGTTTAGTGAAGGCCAGGTCACGGCCATTGACCCTGATGGCCTCGGTTGAACCGAGGTCATCAATAATAGCCACCTGATATGCCTCAATTATATTCTTTCTGCTCAATTTGTAACGAAACGACGAAAGGAATCGTATAGCCCAATTTCCTCTCGGCCTAACGTCCGCATGTACGAGTATGTTATAGACTAGTAAGCTTTGCGAAAATATATAACACAATTTCGGAACAGATAATTCCTTATATGTATGAACATGTTTTGTTGCAAATCTGATACCGAGGTTTCACTTCGTGAAGCATCATAGCAGTAACTCTGTTTCACTTCGTGAAGCAAGCCTACATTTGCCTACATTAGTGCCTTTGTTTTATGCGGTTGCTGTGATCGTGGCCTGTAATTACAATAATCATAGCCATCTCAGCCGTCACTATCGCACACCCCGGTTGATGGTGTTTGTAAATTACACTCGGTTACCGTCGGTGATTGTCGACATTTTCTCTAATACCGTCGCCACGCGCCGCCGCTGGCGCCGGCACCTCCACAACCACGACACCACTGAGCACAGACAGTTAGCGAAACCGCAAGGTCTCGGGGAGCGTGGTGCAAAACCGCTCGTCTTGCCTGCGCCTGGCCATCACACGATAGAGTACCAGAACAGCTCCGAGGCTGGCGTGGCGTGAGCTCGAAGATGACACGGTGCAGGCCCCAAGATGACACCCTGAGGTTTGGAAAGTGACACAGCAAGGTGCTGAGATGACACGGTGTGCCGATGCGACGCACTCACCGGGACACGCCTGTTCCGACATACCGGTGGATCCGGTGGGTGTTTTGACGAATCACGCTTTGCCGGAACTAGACGAATCACGGCACTCAGGAACCGGAGAGCACCAGGCGAGAAGACGAACCGTTCTTGATCTGTCAGCTATTTTATGTTTACATTTAAACCATTGAAGTCGATGAGCCATTTGCTGTTATTGTGACAACAACCAACGTGACGAATGCTTGCTTATGTAGAATATCGACGTCACGTTATTTGCCTACGATCCTACCCGTCACGCCTCTGTTGATTGGCTTTCTGGACCGTGAACAACAATTGACATACCACTCGAACACGACTATACCCTCGGCCACGGTGTCCTGGCGGGCGGTGCACACTGCCCTCCGTCCCTCCCCATCCCGCCCTCGGCGGCCGCAAACGGCAGCGCAGCGAGCCATTCGGGGACACGGAGCGGGATTTTAATGAGCGGAACCGCGCGGCGCGACAGGGTCCAGTTAGACCGCCGTCCGTCGGCTGTGACGACGACGGCTGCCGACGACTTGCCGGCGAGGAGCTGCAGTCAGTGAGACGGATTCCGGCGCGCGGTGAGGGCTCGGGCCGCAGGTCAGACAAGTGGGCGGTCGTGTGGTGACAGTGAGATCCCGGAGTGGACGACGGGGAGTGAGGGCCGAAAAGATGCTTCGAGAGAGGGGCAGAACGTCCTTCTTCAGAAGTGATGACGTACAGAGGGACAGAGGACGCAGGAGAGAGTGGCGGAGGGATAGGGATAAAGGTGAGAGAGATGAGGGCATTAGCGGTGGAACACATTCAATTAAGGGGGGCACTACCGACTTTTGGTCCCATTCTTTCCATGCAACGCCCATAGGGCTAATGTTAAAATGCCAAAATCAAAGAGGGGCACGGTGCCCCGGTGCCCTCCCCGTTCCGCCGCCTATGGATGAGGGGACGTACACATATAAATATGTGACCAATGATGCGCGTGATGATACTGTTGAAGATCCGATTCGTGCTGATTGAAAGGTGAATGAGACAAAAGCACGATATTTCCCCTTTAGTTCTTTTCCTACGCAATCAACAGTGTAGCCGTAAGGACAGATTGACGTGATCCTAAATCAATGAAATGATACTTCCATTGAATGTCCTCTTCAATAAGTTTTATTTTGTGCGCACAAGGTCGAAAATTTAAGTACAAATTACATTCGAAAGGAAAAATATTATTTGTCTTATTTCATGGAACATGAAACATATGTGTTTTGGTAAACATGTTTACCAAAACACATATGTGCCCAAGTGACCTCCATGAAGTATGTAACCGAAGGTTTGTTGTCAATAGTTAAAACACTATTCTTTAGAATTGTGTTTTTCTATTGAAAAACAAATCTGAGTTCCCTGACAACTTGGCAAAAGCTGCCTGAGATCATAAGCTGCTGGCCGCTTATGCGGTACCTGGGCTCTAAGAAAGCTCAACGTAGAGCCCAGCTACGAATATAGTGTTCTCAATGTCAAGAAAAAATATGAAACATGGCACCGGCCCATACCTCCCGGGCCATGGCCCATACCTCCCGGTGTATTTTGATTGATCGAAAAAGCGCGTGATTTATTTAAAGTTATCTCGAGACAAAATAGTTGATCCCAGATGCCTAATATCAGGCATACTTTACAGGCGAAAGGCAATTTCATGTACACAGAGTGAAAACCCCGGGTCTAGCCAGTGCCCACTGGAAGAAAATTGCCCTTTCACAAAACCGGCGCATACCTCCCGGGTCTTCCCTAATTCAATCTTTGCGTCAGGACTTGAGACTGGAATTGAAATTAAAACTGGAATGAATCGAAACTGGCATAGTAGAAAGTGCAGTAAGTACATTATTTCGCTATTGTTTTCAACTGTATATTTGTTTTGTGGCCTAGAAATATTGAAAAGAATTCACTTTTTCGTCTGTTCGGATTTAAGCAGTGAGCAAGCACTCCAATCTTAAACTTGCATTTTGAACATTTGATTCTGTGGAGAGTGAAGTAACTTTTTCTGTTCGTAAATCTTTTTTAACGGCGAAAGGCACCCAAATGCCGTGTTTTATTTATTGCCAATAAGATATCGGACACAAACACGTAGGTACAACAGTTTAT